GAGCTCCATCGGTGGAGCTGCTGAGAACCGGACAGGCTGGAGCCCCAGCAACACGTGTCGGAGGCAGTGGGCCTCTCCTGGCAGGGCGGCTGGGCGGGATGACCTCATCCCTTCCCAGCTCAGCGACGGAGGCTTTATTATTCCAGCCTCTAGGTAGACATGACGCTATGCTGAGCCTAAAGGTTAGAGAAAGATCTGCCTTTGCCGCCATGGGGCTCTTATGGCCTCTGGCAGGAGGGGTCCAAAGGGAGAGTCCCCAGTGGGAATAGCTGGAGTACCTCCCTTGGGGCTCTTCCTGTCTGTCCTCTGCAGCCCACGCCCTCCCTCGCGTTCAGGGAAACACAGGCAGGCACGGTGCTCAGAGAGGGAGCTGACCACCCTCCCTCCTGTGCCACAAGCATCTTGATAGAGAATTTTCTGCTGCTCACCTGGTATACCCTGCAGGCTTGAGAGTAAATGTTATGGGTGAAATAGAGGGAGCTCTGACACGCCAAAATACCACGTACTGGCAGAAACAAAAATCTGAGCTCTACGACAAATAACTCCATTCCTGTTTGAAGGACCCTCTGAGCCTGCTTTCCATGACAGACCAGGCAGATTCCCAAAGAACCAGGGGCGGATGGTCCCTCACACCTTGCCCAGGTACTCCCTGCATTAAACCTGTCCAGAAGACATCCTGCTGGCAGATCCACCAATTGTACTGCCTTGGAATCAGCCCAGGGTGCCCGGGGGGAGGGGGGGGGCTGCCCAAGACTGCAATCCACTTAATTAGGAATGGGCATTTAGCAGGGATGCTTGGCTTTTTTTTTTTGTAATGAAACTTCTTTTTCCCTAAACATTGAGGGCACTTGGGGATGGGAAAGGGAAAGAGTTTGCTGGCTCGTTCATAGGGGTTGGGTCAGAGATGGTCCCCTCCCTTCTGGAAAACTTGGCAAACCCCAGAGAAGAACCCCAAGGTGTTGGCAAGTGCCGTGAATATTTTTCTTGCAAGATATAGTTTCTACCTGCCAGATGCAGTACTGTGCATACGTGGGCTGTGTTAGACGTGGTCACTACTGTGCACCTTGACACGAGGAAGCCTTCTTGGTTGCTATAGTCTGGTACTTTTAAGCACAATCCCCTGGGGTTCTAGCATACATGTGGTTTCCTAGGTCCATCCCAGACCTCCAGACTTAAAACCTCTCCATGGAGAGACTCACCCCTAGTAGGTCTGGGACTCGCCAGTTTTAGACTTGCTCTGTTTGTGTCCATCACAATTGTCTTCTTCTCTCGATTCCTACTGCACTTGTTGCCCGACAGTGACGGGCCCTGGGAACTTCACACTGAATTGTCACTGGCTGATCTCAATGTATTTGGCTCAGTCTTACCAAGACATTGAGCAGTTTGAGGCTGGGGGCAATGCCTCCCGGGACCTGGCCTGGTGTTGGGTGTGTGTGCGTGCTCAGATAGCCCTTTCCCATAGTCACGTTGACTGAGTGAGCGTACACGTTTATGTGTGAACCGCAGCTTGTCTGGCGATGAACCCTAGGCCAGGAGGACAACGTGCATCCCCGCTGTGGTTTACTCAGGTGAATGAAATCCATTCAATATATCTTGAGCTCCCATCTTATGCAAGAACATTCCTGCCTGTGGTAGAGGGTGAGGCAGGTTCACATAAGAAGGGTGACCCACTCGGGGACCCCTGAGAAATAAATTATCCGGTCTCGAGAGTCTAGCTGGAGAGGCTGGCTTGATTCTGCTACAAGCTGAGTGGGGCTGGGAGGTCTTTGGCTTGAAAGAGCCTTTGCTACCTGACTGCTGGCAGCTCAGCACGACCACCCTGGCATTGCCCACGTGGGAGAGACGTGCAGTGGGGCCATTGGTTCCTGCAGGATCCTGAGTGGTGCTGTCTGGGGTGGGGGTGGGGGGTGTCTGCCTGTGGCCCAGGTTTTCAGAACCAGATCCCAGCCACACGCTGGAGGAGCGAGTGGTGCACTGGTACTTCAGCCAGTTGGACAGCAACAGCAGCAATGACATTAACAAGCGGGAGATGAAGCCCTTCAAGCGTTACGTGAAGAAGAAAGCCAAGCCCAAGAAGTGTGCCCGGCGTTTCACTGACTACTGTGACCTGAACAAGGACAAGGTCATCTCACTGCCTGAGCTGAAGGGCTGCCTGGGTGTTAGCAAAGAAGGTGAGTGCTCACTCGTGTGTTCCTGGCCTTCCAGTACGCGTGCCCCACCCAGGCACAGGGACCACAGGCTCCTTCGATAGACGAGATCCCAGGTACTCATTTATTCAACTGCTTATGAAGAGTGTGTTATGCTTTATGCTGGATGCCTGGTACAGTTGACAGATAAGGTCCCTGTCCTTCCACAGCCTACCGAGGACATAGATCTTAAAGTGTTTATGTGCATCATGGTAAGCACTAGGAGAGGGTATTAGGAGAGGCCAGGCTGCAGTGACAAGCAGACCCACACATGTAGTGGCCCAACACAGGAGAAATTTGTTCATCTTGCCCTTGTAATAGTTCAGCATGATTCCAGGTCATGGTGTGTGCATGCGTATGTGTGCGTGTGTGTGTGTGCGCGTGCCTGTGCGTGCAAGGGGAGGAACAGGAATGGAGACTGTACTGTGCAGTCACTCTGAGATCTATCTTGGCTAAGAATGACTCTTCCTTCTTTATTAGGTGGCTTCCAAGGTCACCATGGCGGTTGTTTCCATTCTCAGTAAACCAGATGGAGTAAAGCATGGAACAGTGCTCATGGGGGGGTGGGGGGTGGGGGTGGGGGGGTTATGCTCCAGTCCAGGAAGTGACACACGTTACCTCTCATACCTCGTAGTGGCTGGAACTGCCACCAGACCACACCCAATAGTAAGGAAGTCTGGGAGCGCCCCGGAAGAGGAGGAGAACGTGGATTAGGTTTTCTGGTGGAAACCTAATCATCTCTGTCATGATAGAACAAGTGCAGAGTGTTGTAGGAACATATGTAGGGGCACTTAAATTAGCTCAGGGGCAGACAGCCTCGGAAAACTTTGTGAAGGAAGCGATGTCTAAGCCAGCCATGGGCCACAGGCTCAATCTAGTCGCTGGCCTATTTTTGCATGGCTTGTGAGCTAAGGATGGTTTTTATATTTCTCAAGGGACGTCATTTTCAAAAAAGAGGAATAAAGGATAGATTGTACATGACCTGCAGAGCCTAAAGTATCTACTACCTAGTTCTTTACAGATGAGTTTGCCAGCCCCTGATCTAAACCGATACCTGCGGAATGGGTACGATATGGCCGAGGCAAGGGGTCAGCAGAGGGAGAAGTGTTCTAAGCTACAGCCTAGAGTGAAGATGTAGCGGTGAGGAACGGTTCTAGAGGAACTGAAAGATGTTAGTGGGACTGAAATGCATACTTAAAGGTGGCAGGAGCTGGGGGGTGACAGGAGGTAAGGGGAGAGTCTCAACTTCATAAGGGCAGCAGAGAACCACGGAAGGGGTTCAGTCCAAGAAATGATAGGATTGGTTTTTGCTTCAAAAATGCATGCTGGCTGCAGTGTGGGAAAAAAAGATAGCACACGAGCGAGGCAAGGTCCCCCCAGGAGGCTGTGGCAGGAGGCGACAGAGGCTTGAGTTAATGAAAGCACAGTGGGAGTGAAGGGAAGTGAGTGGTTTTGAGAAACATAGAGCCGCAGTTCTGGTGACCGAGTGGATATAGGGATGGAGGTTGCTTTGGGCAACTGGAGGGCGGGTCTGTTCACCGAGTTGGGCAACATGGAAGGACGAACAGAGCAGGCATAGGGGGATGGAGAAGACAACCGGTATGGATTGAACGTGTCAAGTTGGATGCATCTCAAGGACCAGTGGTTCTCTAAGTGCAGGCGAAGGGTCGGGGCTGAAGATGCCAACCTGGGTGACACCGATTTGCTTGAAATGGAAGCTTTGAAAAAAGCTGAGATTGCCCAGGGAGAAAACTTAAGGGCTTTTTCTGGCTCATAACCCTCGGTGAACCCAAAGGATAGCACAGGAAGTGGATGAATTACCACCAAGTACCGTGTCTCGGGACCTGCCCCCTCTGTAGCTGGTTCTGGCCCTCATTCTGGGGTGTGTGACCCTGGGTGAGTGAGCTCATGGCTCTGGGCACTCCTGTCTGATTGAGGACGCCTCTCTGTGTTCCCATAGTACTCTGGGTCCCCAGGACACAGTGCAATGTCCTGGCTCAAACCCCGCCTCTGCCACAGACTGGCTCCTTCACCAAATACAAATTACTCCACCACTCTGGAGTTTAGTTTCTTCATCTGTAAAATGGGAACAACCATGGTATCTACCTCAAAGGACTGTTGTGCTGACTCAGTGGGACAGTGAGCGAAAACACTTATCACGGTGCCCGAGACAATGAAGGAACTGAATAGAAGTTCCACATTACTGTTCTTCTTCAGATTATTGCCTCGGTCAGCAGCACTTCTCACACTGTGTTGCAGCTGACTTTTCTGATTCCCCCGTGGAGCCCTGGGTTGAGTCACCTCGGTTCTACCCCCAGCACGGTGCACGGTGCCATCAGATCCTTGTCGGACGAGTGAATGAATGAATGAATGAATGAGGGGCTTGCTCAAGCCGGACTCAGCTGAGGACAGGCTTTAGTTTCAAGTTACCTTCACAGCTGTGCCCAGGGAGGCCCCTAGAGTGCAGCTGCCATCCTTCCTCACCCAACACCTTCGACCCTCCCCCTGAGCTCCTCGCCCCGGAAGTGGGACAGAGAGGCCTGAGAGCTCTGCGGCCGCCGCTGACCCCTGAATGTGCTGCCTGGTTGAAAGTATGGCTGGGGTGCCTGTGTCCGCGTGCGTGTCTCTGCGTGTGTCATGCATAGGCATGTCCGTGAGTGTCCCTGCGAGCATGTCTGTGTGTGTGTGTGTGTGCAGGTGTCTGTGTGCATGTCTCCCTATGTGTGTACATGGTCTGTGCATGTGCATGCATGTGTGCATGTCCATACATGTGTCCCTCTGTGTGTGTGTGTGTGTGTGTGTGTCTGTGTGTCTGTGTACGTATATAAGCAGGTCACTGTGTGTGTGCGTCCTCAACCCATTTTACAGTCGAGGAGTCTAGACGAGCCTAGAGAGGAATAGCACTTTGCTCGAGGTCAGAGGGCCCACGTGAGGTGGCATCATTGCTGGCATTTGGACCCAGCCTCAGGATTCCCAGGCCGGAATCTGTCCCCTCCATGAGAAGGACCCCAGAGTGTTCGAAGGTGGTCCCTTGTGTGAGCAGGCCAGTTTTGCTTACCTGAGGAAGGCCAAGGGAGACAAGACCAGCGGTGAGTCCGGGAAAGTGGGGGAGCAGGCCCAGCTGGGGGTGACATGAGCAGGAGTAGAGGCTGCTGGGCCCGGGGCACCGCCTTCGAACTCGGGGCGGGGAGACCCATAGCTTCCAAGCAGGCAGTGCCTGCAGGAGAAGGGAGCATTAGTGAGAGGCATCGGGGAGGTGGGGGCGGGAGCTGGGGGTGAGAGCAGAGGCTCTGAGGGCAACCTGACCTAGCTTTTAATCCCAGCCCTGCCGCTTGCTAGCTCTGGAACCTCTGAGCCTCAGTTTCCTCGTCTGCAAAATGGAGATGATAGCATCTACCTCCTAGATTGGGTGCGAAGGTTTAACAAGATGGTGCACGTGAGGAACTTAGCCCAGTGACCCGGTTCGTAGTGAGCGCGCAAAAGAAATTGCTAGTAGTGGACGAACACACCCAGGGGCTGAAGGCAGCGTCCCTGGGTCGCTCTGCTCTGGAGAGCCCCAGAAAAGTCGCTTGGGCCGAAGGTATGTGGGGAATGAGCCCCTGCATTGGTCATCTGGTGTCATGCGGTGCCCTCTGGTGGGCCGAGAGAGGCTTGCAGGCTAGGTGGGGGGCTCACGGGGGCTGGGGGAGTGCACGAAGTTTAGGGATGAGTGTGGCTTTGGGTCCGAGGGTCCGCATTTCCTCAGTTTGTAAAACATCTTCATCAGGATTATCGTCCCCGCCCTGCGTCAGTACAGGCAGCGTGGAGACTAGTTCCTCCGTTGGTGAAAAAATTCCCAGCCCTCCCTTGGAATTGCCCAAGGATGCCGCCTGCCCTTTCAGGCTTTTTCTGTCCCCTGCCCTCCTCGGTGGTTCAAAGCACGGTCCTGGGAGAAGGTAGCCAGGTCCGAGTTTGCTTCACCACGTAAAAGCTGTGTCGTCTCCGAGCCACAGCTCCGCCGTCATACGATGGAGACAACGTGGTCATTTTATAACAATCGTATAAAATTGCCCCGAGGAGTAAGCCATGTGATGTAGGCAAAGCATTAGTGCCGGGAGCCTCCACAAGCCAGGCCTGGACACCAGGGGCCCTGCACTTCTCAGCTCAGCGGGCGGCACGATTAGAGGGCCCTCCTTCTCTGTGGGAATCTTTCTGCTGCCGGGCCGAGTGGATGAGCGATGGGATTCAGAGCCAGGCCGGATCCCGTCACTGCCCACCTGCCTGCCCTGGGCCTGCCACTCCCTCTCCAGGCTGGTTTCCTCACCTGTCAAATCAGACATACCAGCATCTACCCACCCCACCCTGGGTTGTGTCACTTTCTCAGGGCTTAGGAATGTTAGCAAAACCAGGGGCGGGAGCATTGAGCTGTGGGTTCGCTTGACCGGCTGGGTGGGCGCGGGTCCCCTCAGCACTTCATGCTCTTCAAAGCCCTTTCTCCACTCCATGAATTCAGTCAGCCCTCAAGGCGATCCTGTCAGAGGCAGAGCGGAGGCAGCACAGCCGTGGCCCCGATTCCCAGTCTGTAGACTGACCCAGTGGCGTTGAGGTACATGCACAAAGTCACGCAGCCTCCAGGGGTCACGCAGAGCTGGCCCAGTTCTTGGTGCATCCGCCTCTCAGCTCCCACTCCTCCTCGAGGAGACCTGGGCCCTGCAGAAGCCTCCAAGATCCATAAGCCCCCAGTGGGGCAGAGTGGGCGTCAGCAGGGGGAGGCTTGGGCCTTGGCTAAGTCCCTCAGTTGCTGCAAGCCTCAGTTTCTAGATGATGAGGCTGGACCACATGGTCACGGCCAAGATTCTCTCCACCCTGATGTTCTGTGACCTGGAGAACCAGGACCCAAGAAGCTTATGCCGATGTCCCTCAGCACCAAAGCCCTCTTAGCTAATAGTTGAGGGGATTTCAGAGAGATACCCCAACAAGGGCCTGGCCTTTTGGAAAAGCGACTCTGTTTAAAGGTGCTGGCCAGCAGTGGGTTCACCCGGGCAGAAGAGGGCCACCGACACCCCCAGAGTGGGAGGCACACCCACACAACCTCTGGCTCTTTCTCGAGTCCATTCCTCATTCAGGGGGTTGCAGGAGACAGGCTCCCAGGTAGAAAGGAAGCTCCACCAGTTCTCGGGGCCAAGGCCACTTGAGTGTCGTATGTTCCTGTTTGTTGCAGGTGGTAGTGTTGGCAGCTTCCCCCAGGAAAAATGAGCAGGTCCAAACCGATTCAGGAAGTTGTCTTCTTTTTGGGGTCCCCGCCACGGGCCCCCTAAATGCAGCGTTGTAGTACGGCGGGAGTGGAGGAATCGGCCAAGTAACTTTGGCTCCCATTTTCTTTCTTCTTCTTCC